TTAGCTAGCTGTGGTTTCTAGGTAGTTGATGGATTTAACTTCTTAACTAAATCTGTTGTCTGTTTTTAGCTTAGCATGCTAACGATGAAAGAGTTAAGATGGACAGTTTCCAGAAAGTAAAATAAGGAGATCAAGAGGCGGGAGGCTGTTTTTGATTTTAGTTTGGACACGTCCTGTTCCAACTAATGTTGACAACAAACAATTTTACGTAGCAGATAAATTTATTCAGGCTGTGTCTAAATTCAGGGCCTGTATCTGATCCGTAGGCCGCAGGTGAAAACCAGTTACGTCAGAGCGTCATGACGTTGACATAGATATCCTGATGCATGCTCAGTAATCCAGGTAGAAACATCTAAAAAAGTTCAATCTGGTCCTCTGGTCATTCAAATAAGAAAACAAACAAAAAAATGTAGAAACGTTTCGTCTCTCATCCGAGAGACTTCTTCAGTATGAGGTGCTGTATTCAGCTCAGTCTCTTAAATAGCACCTTCTCAGAGTGGATCAACCAGTTTGCTGCTGACAACCAAAACCAGCTGATCACATGCTCAAGAAGGACCATCAGCCTAACAATGGATCATTAGCACACTGATGGCTGTTTACTGTTCACAGAGGGCTGAGTGATACTAGCAATCACAGCATTGTAAGAGGGGGACAGTTGAACCCGGAGGCCTCCACCCCTGTTTAATGATGGACGGTTTCTTTTCACAAAGATGGCCTCCTTTACTCCTCTCTCAAACCATCGTTCCTCTCTGTCCAGGATGTGCACATCTTCATCCCTGAAAGAGTGACCGCTGGCCTGGAGATGAGTGTAGACCGCAGAGTCCTGTCCTGATCATGTTGATCTTCTGTGCTGGTCCATCCTTTTGGCCAGTGGCTGTTTAGTTTCCCCGATGTAAGACTGATCACCCTCCTGACACTGAACAGCATACACAACATTGCTCTGTTTGTGCCGGGGGACTGGATCTTTGGGATGAACCAGTCTTTGCCGTAATGTATTTTGGGGTTTAAAAGCCACTGGGACGTTATGTTTAGAAAATAAACATCTCGGTTTCTCTGATACTCCCTCAACATACGGAATGACCACTGGTCTGGGTCTGGGTTCCTCCTTTTCACCTGTTGGCTGACTGGAGTCCTGTTTGGGTTTCTTCTCTGCTTTCAGGAAGGCCCAGTTAGGATATCCACATTGCTCTAGAGCCTGTCTTGTGTGGGATTTCTCCTTCTGCCTGGCTCCTGAGCTAGTGGGGACGCTGTCTGCTCTGTGATACAGAGTCCTGATGACTCCTAACTTGTGCTCCAAAGGGTGATGGGAGTCAAACTACAAATACTGGTCTGTGTGGGTGGGTTTGCGATACACCTCAGTTTGCAAATGTCCTCTATCAGAGACTGAGACCTCACAGTCCAAGAAAGCCAACCTGCCATTTGTTACATCTTCTCGTGTGAACCGTATGCTCAATAATCCAGGTAGAAAAATCTAGAAACGTTAAGTCAGGACCACTTTTTTAGACGTTGACATATGTTGGCTCTGTCATTTTAAGGGCAGGATAGTCGGAGAGAGTCGCTCTTACTCAGTATTCGGTTGAAGCACGAGGTAAAGCCACCTCATTTTATTCCAATCAGTTCACTCAATATGTCTTTCAATTTATATGATGCTAATATAGTCCAATATATAAATGTATATAGTTGCTTAATGATGACGTCAGTGAAGAGCACACCTGCTCTTTCTCTACACACATTTTATTGAACACATTTTCCATTTTGTTTTAAATCTCATATCTTTCATCTTAAACTTTGCTTTAAGCATTTCTTTCACGCTGTTCATTAGATAATCATCGCTTGTTGCTATGATGATGTCATCATCCCAAAAGATCACAGCTATTTGCTCATTTTCAGTTTGTTAGTTTGTTTAGTTTACACACGGTGATCTGCTGGATTTTGAACCAAACCATTTTGCTCAAATGATCTTGCAGTGTCCTGTTCCAGTTGCGTCCTGATTGTTTTAAACCATACAATGACTTGTTTAGTTTACAAACCAGTTTTTCATCTGAATCTGAGTTGACTTCAAACCCACAGGCTGTTCTATATACACCCCACAGTCGATGTAAACAGGCTGTTTTAACATCCATCTGATGTAACTTCAGGTCACACTGGGCTGCCATTTGCATTAAGCTGCGTACAGATGTCATACTCGTTTTTGGTTTAAATGTTTCTTTATAGTCCATATCAGCTTTCTGGCTGTACCTTTCTACTATCTGGCATTATAATAATAATAATAATCCATCTACCCCTAACTGCATTTTTACCTTCTTGCAGTCTGGTCAGTGTAAATGTTTTCTTTTAAGGATCCAATCTCTTCTTTCATAGCTTCCATCCACTTTTCTGAATCTGGTAAATTTATTGCTTCTTTAAAACTTTGTGGTACATTAGACGCCACACGATCGCAATAGTCAACATTTGTGGTTATGTATAAAAATGTTAAAGAAGTACATTTTTATCAGTGAAGATTAAAAATAAACTGTGCAGGCTTTATCATGAAATCCTGCTTTCACTGTAATGACTTTATTAAATAATCTGTTAATTAAATTAACTCAGCTGAAAAATCATAAAAATACAATTATTGGATCTCAGGAATATTTCCCTCAAACATGTTTAAAGAAGAGACACAGCCTTTAGTTCAACTTTATTCTAACCCACAGATGTACAAATGACAAAATCAAGCTAAAATAAAGTAATCTGTATACAAGCAACAAAACCACACAACTAAATTGAACAATAAACGTAGACACGATTAGAGCAAATACATCAAATGATGAAGAAAAACGAACATTTTAAATCAATCAACCTTTATTTATTCAGGTAAATCCCATTGAGCCTCGAGGACTCATTTACAAGAGAGACCTGATTTCAACAAACAAAGATGACAACAATGGACAACAGCAACAACAATAAGCAGTTATAAAAACTCATACTAGTTTTTTTTTTTTTTTTTTTTTTTAACAAATAGGATGGCTAAAAGGAAAAAGGTAACAAAACAAAAAAAACAGCTAGATTCCAAGACAAATGTATAAAACTAAAAACAGGAACATGTCTGCATTGGTCCCTGCCAGGAGTCCAACAGATTCTTAAAGCCACTTAGAGAGGTCAAGGTCGAGAGCTTCAAATCTTTTTGTAAGATATTCCAGGAAACAGGAGCGGAGTAGGAGAAGGCCCTTTTGCCTAGTTCAGTCCTCACTGAGGGAACACTGCAGGTAATAATGTCCTGAGAGCGCACTCACGCAGAGACATGTAGGAGTATAAATATATGTATAAATGTATAAATATAGATGTTTTTGTAGAATCTGGTTCATCAGAGATTTAATGGTGAACTAAACTATGTGTGTATATATATATATATATATATATATATATATATATATCTCATAGATTATTCATGAGTCTGTCATTCCAGTGTTTTTCTATTTCAGTGTTCTTGACCGTCTCGTTTCTGTAATGCTCCATGGGGCCTTCATGGTCCTCAAAGTCTGGATCCTCCAAAGCCTCAGAATTGAGACCCAGCTACAGTCTCATCTATAAAGACTAAACATTGTGATACAAATGCTCTTTTAGAATGAAAATCAGGATCAGTAATGTCCATTTTGTAGTGAAAACCTAAATCAGATGGTTAATATTAATATAAAAGATAATAGTAAAACATTTCTGAACAACTCAACAAGGTTAAATTAGTCACTTGTATTTTTTTCTCATCATTTATGCAGTTTCTCAGTAAAATGACGTCCGTGCTTGTCTGAAAATAAGGAAGACAAATTAAAATTTGGATAATGTAAGAAGTAAAGTTTAAATTTAAACCAAAATGTTCCAATACCCATATCAGGTGATTGCATTAAAAATTGTATTTTTGATGATAAACAGACATTTGTTTGTTTTTTTACTGAATAAAATGTTGTTCCTTTGACTTGGAACAGTTCTGATCCACAAAACATCAATCAACAACACAAGTGATGTATGAGTGAATATAAAGTTATATTCAGTCCATATTGTCTGTGTTTCAGTGTTCCCTGCAGATGTTCATCAGACTCTGCTGATCAGAGGAGATACTCCTGAGGAACAGAGGCCTGATGTGAACCAGCAGGACCCAGAGCTCCTCCACATAAAGAAGGAAGAGGAGGAACTGTGGACCAGACTGGAGGGACAGCAGCTCATTGTAATGGGGGAGACTGATGCCAGCAGGTTTTCATTCACTGCAGTTCCTCTGAAGAGTGAGGATGATGAAGAGAAGCCTCTGTTCTCACAGCTTCATCAGCACCAAATGGAGGACAGAGATGTTCCAACCAGCAGCTCAGCTGACCAGATGAAAGTAGAGGCTGATGGAGAGGACTGTGGAGGAGCAGAAACCAGTAAGAAACCAGATGTAAATTTTCTTGGAGATGCTTCCAGCTCTTCAGAGACTGAAGTCAGTGAGGATGATGAAGAGGATGAGGATGGGAACAATCCTGACTCTCAGCTGGAACACTTGTCAGCTGAAGACAATGACAAAGACTGGAAGGAGAGCAGAGCTCCTGAGTCAGTTGTAAACTCTGTCAACAAATGTTTCAGCTGCTCTGAGTGTGGTAAAGAATTTCTGCACAACAAGTCACTTCAGAGACACTTGACATGTCATTCAACAGGAAGACGTTCAAGCTGTTTGGATCAGAAGAAAATTGTAGAGACACACAGGAAAGTCCAGACAGGACTGAAATCATTTATTTGTGATGAATGTGGAAAAAGATTTAACCAAAAAACAATTTTAAAAGCGCACATGAGAATCCACACTGGAGACAAACCGTTTGTATGTGAGGACTGTGGACAAAGATTTAGCTGGAAGACAACTTTAAACAGACACGTCAGTGTCCACACCGGACAGAAACCTTTTGTATGTAAGGATTGTGAACAAAGATTTAGCAGGAAATCTCATTTACACTCACACATGAGAGTCCACACAGGAGAGAAACCTTTTGTATGTGAGCTTTGTGGACAAAAATTTAGACAGCTGTCTCATTTAAACTCACACACAAGCGTCCACACAGGACAGAAGCCATTTGAATGTGAGGACTGCGGACAAAGATTTAGTATTAAGTCAAGTTTAAACAGACACATGAAAGTCCACAAAGGACAGAAACCTTTTGTGTGTGAGGACTGTGGTCAAAGATTTAGACAGATGTGCACTTTAAACTCACACTTGAGAGTCCACACAGGAGAGAAACCGTTTGTATGTGAGGACTGTGGACATAGATTTAGCCATAAGACAAATTTAAACAAACACACAAAAGTACACATGAATCAAAGTTCTCTTCAATAATGAAGTCAAAGTTTTAGACTTCAGTTTGCTGTTAAACACACGAGAACCCTCACAGGAGGGAAAACAGTTTAACTGAATATTGACAAGTGAGTCCTAAAGACACAAGAGTTCAGTTTACTTTGAAGTAAAACTGCACAGTTCCAGAGTCTAGTAAATAGATGTGTAGCTTCAGAGTTTACTGCAGTTGTTTACGATATAATAATATATAATATTTGGTGTGATTGCACGTTCTCTCAAAACTTTCTACATCTGTGGCATTGTGCTGTGATAAAACTGCACATTTAAAGTGGCCTTTTATTGTGGGCAGCCTAATACATACCTGTGCAATAATCATTCTGTCTAATCAGCATCTTGCTATGGCTCACCTGTGAGGTGGATTGATCATCTCGTCAAATCAGAAGTGCTCTCTAACACAGATTTACACAAATTTGTGAACAACGAGAGAAAAAGGCCTATTGTGTACATTTAAAAAAAGTCTTAGATCCTTGAGTTCAGCTCATGAAAAATGGGAGCAAAAACAGAAGTGTTTATATTTTTTAGTTAATTATATTAGCAGTACAGTAATCTCTCATTTATTGCACGAAGTAGCGACGTTATATTTATTTTAGTATTTATATATATTTTAAGGCTTTAGAAACCTTTCCCACGTTATTGCAATGTTCTATACTCTTTAAACTTGTCATTTTAACAACATGCGTATATGTAGCTACTAAATTTTACTCACCAGGCTCTGCAAAACAGGAGTGGTTCTCGTTCTGGTCCGACTCTGTTCTGGTCCGACCCAGTTCGTTTCTGCAGACCTAACCTGCAGCGACAAAGCCCACAGTCAATGTTGTCAACTACGTCCTACGTCATTTTAACAACATACGTATATGAAGCTACTAAATTTACTTACTTGCTCTTGGGTTCACCGCTGAGTCTGGAGGTCCGGTTCTGGTCTAGTTTAGTGCAGCTTGAGGCCAAAGTCCCGGTGGGCTCGGAGTGGACGTGGGTTTTCTCTCACAGACCAAAACGTGCACGTCATGTTAATTAGTACAAATAAATTGTGCTTAGGTGTGAGTGAGCGTGTGAATGAGTTTGTCTCTGTGTCCCTTGATGGACTGGAGACCTGTCCAGGGTGTGTCCCCCGTCTCTCCCACAGTGACTGCTGGTGATGGGCACCAGCTGTGACCCAGAAAGAAAAAAATCAGAAGATGGATGTTTGAGTGTGAAGATAATAAAACTTCTGGAAGAAGTTACACTGATAAAGGAATGTTGACAGTAGGGGTTGAACGACTACATACTTTTTAAACTCGACATTAACATAATAAAACTCTAGTAGAACTCGAGTACTTGATGACATTATAGGATCTAAAGATACAAAAATAAATAAATAAAACCGCAATAAAGGTCATTATTTACCAAAAAAAAGACCAACAAAACATTGGGAGCGTATATTATGCTCCTACCATTTATCATACTGCAAATAAGTCACAGGAAAAACTAAACTATTAGTTATTATTATTAAGCTTCAAACGTGAAGAAACACGCAGCACGTCAGAAACGAAACTAAACACAGTGGGGGTCCCACCCCGCACCACCACCAGCTGTGGTACGCATGAAGTTTAGTTTTAGAGATTAATATGTTTATAGATTTTTTTAATAGGTTTAGAGATTAATATTTTTTGCTTTTTGTTTGTGAAACAAGGTCAGAAGAAGCTGGTTCGGTAGACTGGACCCGGTGTTGCACCATACTCTGTGACCTGCAACAGTACAACACCGCCCCCTACTGTCACAAAATATGTATACACTGCATGAACAGTTTAAAGTCAGCAGGTAACAGGGTTGAAACATTTAGTTGGATTTAACCTGAATTTATATGGTCAGTTTTTTTTTTATTACCAGAGTAAAATTAAATGTAGCTCATCATTATTTAAGTAACATAAAATAAAATAAAAACATATAGACAATAATTTATAGTTCTGCCAGGGTTTTTGTTTCTTAAATTTGTTGTATTACTTGAATCTGGCGGCTGCTGTGGCTGAGTGGTTAGAGCAGTCGTCGTCCAATGCAAGAGTTGTGGGTTTGAATCCACCAGCAGTCACATGCTGAAGTGTCCCTGGGCAAGACACTGAACCCCTCGTTGCCTCCGATGTGTGTCCCACCAGTGTATGAATGTGATAAAGCTCTGATTATTCTCAGAATGATTTGTTCAATTAACTTTGTATAGATCTAGTAGAGTGCTGTATGAACGGGTAAATGAGGCACAGAATGTGTTATAAAGCATTTTTGAGTGTCTCGATAAGATAGAAAGGTGTTAAATAAGTACAGTCCATTTACCATATCTTCTGAGCCTGATATAGTCAAAATACATATTTTTAATTTACTATTCACTGTGAGTTCTTGCCTTGTATTGCTCTGCAGCATGAAAACATCCACTGCTGTAACTTTTTCAAGTTATTAGTAGTGTAGGCATTTCTGCAGCACGAGAAGCTCCTGGGTCGTCTTCACCATCTGCAGCTTGTGTCCACAACTTTACAACAGCTCCAACCATAAATACACCAGTGGCATACATCACATCAACAAGTAGCGTGTGTGTGTCTTCTGCCTTAATGTTGGCTGATAAGACTATTCACTGGTTAATTGGTCATCGTTAACTATAGGCTCACTCACTGGTACATTTTCATCTTTAAATCACTTCTTGGTCTACTGCCTTCATACATCTCCTCCTACATGTCTCTGCATGTGTGCAGCTACAGTTGTACTACAAAAAGATCTGAAGCTCTCGACCTTGACCCTAAGTGGCTTCAAACATCTGCTAAGTTCATGGCAAAAACCAATTGCAGTTTTTTTTGGGGCTTGTTTTGAACATTAAGTCGCTTATTTGGGCTTGTGTTTCTTTCCGAGTGAAAGCAAAAGATGAGTGGTAGGTAGTTTGTCCCTTCACGCTCCCCTTCCACGGATGTTGCGTCCATGCGGATGATACGTTCAGGTGCGGCTGGCGCCAGTTTGTGCTGCAAAGCACATCTTTTTTGGCACTCGAAGGTTTTGGAAGTTTAGCAGGTTTATTAATAAACATATTTTAAGGAATTTTTCCTTACGTTGGGAAAATATTTTAATTTGTTTTTCTAGATTCCCCAGAAAGGATGCTAAATGTTGTTTTATAATAATTGTTTTGGCCAAATTTTTCATTCATAAATGTAAATTTACTAACAAAACGCCATGCTTTCTTCATTTTATTAAGGATTTGGATCTATAAGTAAAGTTAATAACAGACTCTACCAACAAAAAGGCCCTTAGGACAATTTCTATCTGTAAATCTTTGCAAATATTTGTTTAAAAAACTCACCCCTGGTTGTTTGTTCATGTAAGTGTTCGTCTATACTCCAGCCTTTTGTTTGTTATATACTTGTCATTTGCTTTAATAAAGATTTTTTTTTTTTTTTAAACGTTTGTGCTGTAAAGATTTCATTCCAACCAAGGAGATGCTCGAGCACTTTGTGGAAGGAACATTTGGAAGCACAGAGACAGAGGCAAATGAAAACGGCGATGATGGATTGTAGTTCAGGTAAAAACAATTTTTACATGTTTTCATCTGTACCAGGCTTTATGTTAATTGTCCCATATGAGATTTCTGTTACAGATGAACAGACCTGATGGGGAAGCAAGGACAAGGAAAGAAGATGGTTTCACACTTGACCTGTTTGAGTTGGCTCATGTTTGTTTGCTTTTAAACAGAGTTTAAAGAAAGTTTTTTGCTGACTGTTTACTATGAGTTTGCTGTTAAAAGAAAATTGTACACATGATTTATGGTCGTCTGTTGTTGTCATTGTTGTCATCACTCTTTGTTTAAAATTCAGATCTTTCCGGTAAATGTGTCTCAGAGACTCAATGGGATTAATTAAAGGTTGAATTAATGTTACACATGCAAAATGTTTTTTTTTCCCCAAGTGTAAAAGTATGTTATTCAAAGTGTTAAGCATAATTTTGCTGTTTATATGTAATGCCATAATAAATGTATGTTTATACAGTTTAAAAACGGCCTCAGTTTTACACAATGTGGTGGGTTGCCAGATAAGCCTGTTTTCATGGAGCTGGTTGCTTGTTTCTATTGCGAGATCTGGCAACACTGGCCAGCACGCAGAGGAGATCTGACCGTAATCTCGCTGCCAGCAGCGGCTGAAACGGGTGGAAGACACCGCTGAATCCACGGAG